ACAGTATTTGATGCGGAAACGTTAGCTTTAAATTGTATCTGTCACGCCTAGAACCCGATTCCCTTGGGTTCGATGCACGAATTCAAAAACCATCTATTTCAATCCATGCGGAGCGCTAATACTCTCAATAATTGATAAATCCCCCAAATTTAAATTACAACTGACGTCAAATATTACATATTTTCTCAATAAAAATTACAATATTTAATTCTTCACTCATTCGAATCATCCTCAATTAACTAATACCTCGAGGTTAACCAGCATCGGAGGGGGTAAATGGGGGGTGAACTTGGGAGGCTCTCTAAGTAATTTAAAACAAAATATATGGAGTTTAGGGTCAAACGATAATCCAACAATCCACCGCATAATTAACAAATAAAATGAGCATTTAGCACAGATCCCTTTATAAAATCATACAAAACCCAACGATTCAATCTTTCAAATTACTCATGGCTTCATACTTGGTTCATATTGGCTACATGCTAGGTGCTACTCAGTACATCCCATTCTAAAACACACCCGTTAACGACATCTCAAACCATATTTATGTCACCGAATATGCCTGACATGTGCCAATAGGTCACAAGCATTCCACCCGAAAAATATTTTTCACACAACAAATACAAAGACATATCAAACGAAAGCCCTAACAAACATCGATAATCAACGGTTAAACAATGACTCAGAATACAATGATGATAGCAATAAAATGACTCTTTATAAAAAGATTTACGAATGTNTTTGGTTGTGTTTCCGATGTATCCTCATATTGTGTTTATTATTGGATACGTGTAATACATCTCCTATACGTATCCTTGAGTATTTGATAACTATTGTATCCCATACAGTATTTGATGCGGAAACGTTAGCTTTAAATTGTATCTGTCACGCCTAGAACCCGATTCCCTTGGGTTCGATGCACGAATTCAAAAACCATCTATTTCAATCCATGCGGAGCGCTAATACTTTCAATAATTGATAAATCCCCCAAATTTAAATTACAACTGACGTCAAATATTACATATTTTCTCAATAAAAATTACAATATTTAATTCTTCACTCATTCGAATCATCCTCAATTAACTAATACCTCGAGGTTAACCAGCATCGGAGGGGGTAAATGGGGGGTGAACTTGGGAGGCTCTCTAAGTAATTTAAAACAAAATATATGGAGTTTAGGGTCAAACGATAATCCAACAATCCACCGCATAATTAACAAATAAAATGAGCATTTAGCACAGATCCCTTTATAAAATCATACAAAACCCAACGATTCAATCTTTCAAATTACTCATGGCTTCATACTTGGTTCATATTGGCTACATGCTAGGTGCTACTCAGTACATCCCATTCTAAAACACACCCGTTAACGACATCTCAAACCATATTTATGTCACCGAATATGCCTGACATGTGCCAATAGGTCACAAGCATTCCACCCGAAAAATATTTTTCGCACAACAAATACAAAGACATATCAAACGAAAGCCCTAACAAACATCGATAATCAACGGTTAAACAATGACTCAGAATACAATGATGATAGCAATAAAATGACTCTTTATAAAAAGATTTACGAATGTTGGCATATTATAAGGTAAACCACTTACATGAATTTGATCCAGACTAATACCATGACTAGCATTCTTAGTTGATCTTGGTTCCCTTGTTGACTTCAATAGTAATGAACTCTAAAACATACCACCATTGTTAAATTCCCTAACAATGGACCCCAACAATCCTTGGTCTATAACAGTAGACTATCTCTCTCTCTCTCCCTTTTGTTATTTTTTTGTCCTTCCTCTATTTTGATAGCCTACATACACATGAATAGGAGAAACCCTAGATGCACCACCTCACACATTTGTTAATTGCACTGGCACCATTTTCTTAACAAAAAATCATAATTTGACCCAAACTTTGAATTAAATATATTTCTTTTTTGCGGGTTATCACATTCTCTACCCGTTAAAAAATTTTTGGTCCTTCTTGAAATTCCTTATATGCAGATTGTTCCAATATGCTGAAAATCTCTCCACAGTGCATTCATATTGAAACATAATTTAATTTTTACTCATGTTCTAATATCAAGTTCCTTTGGTTGTATTCTAAGCACTAACCTAAGATAGTCAAAAAAATCAAATCCTTGCAGATTAAAGCCCAATAGGTTTTGTTTTAATTTATTTTATTTTGGTACACGATATCATATTCTTTTCTCTTGTTTTTTTCTTTGTATCCTTGAAATTTACAAGTTGAGCATTCATCTTTTTTGTACTTTAAAAAAAATGTTTCTACTGTACATTATGATTATGAGTTTTCTTTTCCTGCTCGACTTATTAGCATGCACATATACGTACCCACATATATAGCTAAAAGAATATCATTCCCACCATACCCACTTATTAATCTCAGTGTCTAAGAGTCAACACATGTTTCACCAAACTGGTCAGTTGTTTGGTCTCTTTTATATTCTACTCTAAAATGACTGGGCTTGGTCACTCCTCATACACTTCAAAACTTACTGCAATCAGGATTAAGAATTCTTTGGCCTACCATGAAAATCTAGATTTTTTTAGAAACCTGCCATATTCATGTTGTTCTAATTAAACTTATTATTGTCCAATCCCATCTCATAGTCATTCTCAAATCAAGCTAGCCCACTTCTCTAAGCTTGGATACCATTCTATCACACCCCGAACTCGATTCCCTTGGGTCCAGTGCACGCACTCAAAACCCATCAATTTCAATCCATAAAGAGCACTAATACTTCAAATAATTGATAAATCTCCCAAATTTAAATATCAATTGACGTCAAATATTACATATTTCTTCAATAAAAATTACAATATTTAATTCTTCACTCGTTCAAATCATCCTCTATCGACTTATGCTCTGAAGTCAATTATATCTGAGGCGGTAAATGGGGGTGAGCTTGGGAGATCTAGTAAGTAATTTAAAACACAATATGCAAAGTCATAAGGTCAAACGATAATCCAACAATCAATCACAAAATCATCAAATAAAATGTGTATTTAGCACAAATCCCTTCATAAAATCATATAAAACCTAATGATTCAATCTTTTAAATCACTCATGGCTTCATACTTGGTTTATCTCAGCTACATGTTAGGCATTACACAGTACATCCTATTTTAATACGCTTCTTTGGGCCACATTTACATCTCAAACCATATCTGTGTCATCGAATACGCATGACGCATGTGCTAATAGGTCCCAATCATTCCACGTTCTTACCAACAAAATATTTTTCACACAACCAATACAAAGACACATCAAACAGAGGCCTGGATGAATATCAATAATTAACTGTTAAACAATAGACCAGACTACAATGACGATAACAGTAAAAGGACTCTTTGGAAAGAGGTTTACGAATAGAGCATATTATGAGATAAACCACTTACATGAATTTCAATCCATATGAATACCATTACCAGCATTCTCAATTGATCTTGGTTCCACTGTTGACTTCAATAGTAATGAACACTTAAACATACCACCACTGCTAAATTCCATAACAATGGACCCTAACAATCCCTGGTCTATAACAGATGACTCTCTCTCTCTCTCTCTCTCTCTCTCCCNAATTCCATAACAATGGACCCTAACAATCCCTGGTCTATAACAGATGACTCTCTCTCTCTCTCTCTCTCCCTTTTTTTTTATTTTTTTGTTCTTATTCTATTTTGACAGCCTACATTCACATGAATATATACTAAGAGAAACCCTAGATGCACCGCCTCACACATTTGTTAATTGCACTAACAGCCTTTTCTTAACAAAAAATCATAATTTGACCCAACAATTGAATTATATATATATTTTCTGCGGGCTGTCACACTTATTGCAGTTGTAGTTACAGTTTTTATCCTGTTTGTACCTAGCTGTATGTGATTGGCTTCTCATATAAACTATTGCTAGGCGAGAAAATAAGCTAGTTAATTAATGAGTGATGAAAGGATGCTTAGGAGAATCTAAACATTTTTGTGTACAATCATAAGATATCTCTACTCTAACTTGCTTTCTTATTCTGGGTAGTCCTCTTGAAGTGCCTTTTTTGATTGCTAATTTGATATGCAATAGGACTGAAACAGAATATGTTAGTCAGATGCTGACAAAGATCAAACGATTTGCTCAACATCACTCATGCCATGTTTGGTTTGTAGCACATCCAAGACAGGTTGGCAAATTTAAAACCTGTATTTTACTAGATACCTGTCATTCTTTTTAAACCTTAGATTTGTAACAGTTGCACCAGTGGATGGGGAGTCCGCCAAATTTATATGACATCAGTGGAAGTGCACACTTTATAAATAAATGTGACAATGGGATAGTTATTCATCGTAACAGGGATCCAGAGGCTGGCCCTATTGATCTAGTGCAGGTTCGATTTGTCTCCAGTTTTTGCATTTTACACATTCATTTGTGTAATGATTGGAGTATGATATTCTAATCTTCAAAAGTTTTGAACTGTCTTCGTCCAGATATGTGTGCGTAAGGTACGGAATAAGGTTGTAGGAACAATAGGTGACGCCTTCTTGTCGTATAATAGGTACAACTTCTTATTCTTTGTTTTTTGAAGTGCTACTTTTATCACCATGGGGAAGATGACTTTTTTTTTGCTTTTCGTGAATCACATGGTGGTGAGTTTTTTTATATATATCAATGTGGTGATACTTTCTAGGGTTGTCAGTTGAAGCATGCCTCCTATGATATTTTGATGAAGTTTTCTAGTTCATTTAATTTACAAATACTTTTTGTTTGGGTTCTGCCCAATATTATTTTTGTTACTCCTTTTATTGGCTTGGAGGAGTTAGTAAAACAAAGGTGCAATTGGTTGTGCATCGGTAAAATCTCAAGCTGATAAGATGTCAGGTTTGGATACGGGTGCAACCACTTTTTGTAATACCCGGTTCACTCTTCCGACCATCTCTGATTTACAGTAACCAAACTTGGTACTTGGCCTTATTTTTCAAAGAATGGGAAAAAGTGAGAAGCATTCCAGAATGCTTGCCAATCTTCTTGTTGAATGTTTTGCTTCTTTCTATACTTTTTATGGCCAATTCATGCATGAGTTAATGATTCAGATTTGCAAGAAATACTTAACTGAGAATAGCAAATCAAGCGTCCTTGTGGAAGATGATGTAACTGACAGCTCGCCATATGTGGTTTCCCAGGACTACTGGTGAATTCATGGACATTGATGACTGCCAAAGCGAGTAGCAGCAATTCCTCTTATTTTAGCTATGTAACATGAAGGCTTGCCTTGTCTGAAGAGTCCTGCTGGCTGAAGTGAGCTGAATTTTGATTCCCTTTTGCTCCCTGAAAATACGAATGAGTAGGATAGGCTGGTAGTATGTAGCTCATAGTTGATAGTGTATCATGTTATATTTCATGGTCATTGAGCTTTAATTTTTTACGTTTTGCTTTCTTTTTGCTTGTTTTGAAATTGTTTTCTTGGTCTGTTCAAAAAAAAATAAANTATATTTCATGGTCATTGAGCTTTAATTTTTTACGTTTTGCTTTCTTTTTGCTTGTTTTGAAATTGTTTTCTTGGTCTGTTCAAAAAAAATAAATTGTTTTCTTGGGTTTCGGCTGTTATTTGTCTTGAACTGTTCTTATGTAAAATGGGGTTGAAGTCGTGATGTATGGCGTACTGGACTTTTCCCCAAACTTCCCCCAACCCCAACCCCACGCCACCACTCCACCCTAACAATTGAGCCGTGTTCCAAGTCTTATTATTTAGGATGTGTTGAGTACTAGTAAATTCTAACTCGATTTGTTCAATTAATTGCGTTTAATGATCTCAACCTACTTGTGTTATTTATTGTGTTTGTGAAATTCTTCTGTGAACTAGAAATTCAATAGTTACAGTTCTCTTTTGTCCTTTCCAAAACCATTCATTGGCTTTTCATAAAGTAAAATCCATCTTGCTTAGATGCTTGCAAAAACCCAGTGTAAAATTCTTTTGACATAACTAGATCAAGAAATGAAGAAGGAAAATATTCAAATTTTCATCATATTACATTAGCTAAAGGTAGTTGTTATGTCAAATTGGGATATTTTTGTTATAAATTGATCTGATACATTTGTTATTTATATATATTAGGGGAGCTCATGCGTTGGGTTTGCTCACATGTCTCATTACCTAGCTTGAAAAAATAGGTCCGAAGTGCGATAGTTGTTTTGTTGAATTTGAGTTCAAGTTCAGTATCTTTCAAGAGAGGATCGGTGTTTACCCTTAGACCCCCATGCGTTGGGTTTGCTCATAGGTCTCATTACCTAGCTTGAAAAAACAGGTTTGACGGTTGATAGTTGTTTTGTTCGAATTCGAGTTCAAGTTCAATATCTTTTAAGAGAGGATCGGTGTTTACTCTCAAACCTATTCTGGTGATTTCTACGTTTACAGGTTCCCTCTCTTTGCCCAGTATGTCTGGTATCGTGGATGCTGAGTCATTGGCAGTTGAGGGGGTTAGTCGACTGTCTGACCCTAGTTCATTTGAATTGGGTAATAGAAGGCGGGAAGAAGTGTTGGTTCCTAATCTAGGTATTAAGAGGGGTTACCTGACCTAGGCCCTTGATGAGTCCAGTCTGGTGGATGTGAGTTTCAAATCCGATGACCAGGTCTCTCTTGAGTTGGGCTTGTGTCAGGCTATTGAAGTAGGGAGCCCCAAACGGAACAAAGCTAAACCAAGTCAGCCAAAGAAACCTTTTCTAAAGGATCAGCCCAAGGTAATCCGGATCCCGTTTCTGATTTAGGGATTTCTTTAGATAATGCATGGATTGTTTCAAGCGTTGATCTGCAAATCAATAAACCTCAGAAGCTATCGAAGCAAGAAAACCGAAAATGGAAAAGAACATCGCCTGTTCCAATTAGGGAGGCGAACTGGGATATTCTAGGGATCACGGTTGGGGAAAATAGGAAAGAATTAGCTTCAGATGATTCTAATCCAGGGAAGAAGGTTCCTGTTTCAAAGAAGATTTCTTCCCAGCATGGTAATTCGAATTTATTACCTAGTTCAATGGTGGAGACTGCTTTGCAGTCCCGCCGAGCATTATGATAGGTGTATCTTGGAACTGCCGAGGGCTTGGGAACCCTTGTTCAGTTTTGCTCTTCATGACCTAGTGAAGAAGGAAGTTCCACAACTAGTTTTCTTGATG